TTCCGTAGACGGATCCCGATGGGGATTCCGTAGACGGATCCCGATGGGGAAACCGAATACGAATCCCGTTGGGGAAACCGAATACGGATCTTGATTGGGAAACTGAATACGTATCCTGATGGGGAAACCGAATACGGGTCTTGATGGGGATTTCGTAGACAGATCCCGATGGGGAAACCGAATACGGATCCCGATGGGGAAACCGAATACGGGTCCCAATGGGGAAACCGAATACGGATTCCGATTGGGATACCGTAGACGGATCCCGATGGGGAAACCGAATACGTATCCCGATGGGGAAATCGAATACGGGTCTTGATAGGGAAACCGAATACGGGTCTTGATGGGGATTCCGTAGACGGATCCCGATGGGGAAACCGAGTACGGATCCCGATGGGGAAACCGAATACGGGTCTTGATGGGGATTCCGTAGACGGATCCCGATGGGAAAACCGAATACGGGTCCCGATGGGGAAACCGAATACGGGTCTTGATGGGGATTCCTGTACACTGATAAAATTTCAAAGATTGTTTCTATATGTCCTACTTTTGCAATACAAATTATATCTATGTGTCGGACGCCGTTACGTGGTGTTAGCATCTCCTGATTTTCTCTATAAATTTTCCACTTTCGACCAATTTGGCGCTAGTATCTATAAATTTTCTGTTGAAAATAGCCACTTGGCGCTACTAGCACTTAGTGTCTAGTGTAATTTGTGCAACGCATGCGCCATCATGTTTTCAAAGAGATTTTTTTAAGTGGGGAAGTCGCTGTTACTGGCGCTTAAGTCGAATAGGAATCTTTACACAAGTTTTTAGAGAAATTTTGTTCGAGCCTCCATGTCTGTTCTCTGTGGTTCATGTGAACCAAAATTTATGAAATTTTGGATTTAGGTTCCATTTTTAAACCATTTTTTCAGCCTATCAATATTGGATTCAGAGAGTAAGCGGCGGTAAGCTCCAACTCGGATTAACTTTTAATACCGCCCCTGTTTGGATGATCTGAGAATTGTTTGTATAGCGAATAACTGATGTCGACATCAAAGCAGCCGGACATTCTTGATCGTTATTTAATCCGAGGATAATACCGATTGGAGCTTAGCCATAAGTGATTTAATGAATACGCTGATTGCGACTCTCTGAAAATTAAATCCACAGGTTTTATACGTCAAACTCATCCTTTGCAACGTCCTCTTGTAACTTAAAAATACAAAATGTCATCATAACGTATAATGACTTCATAATTCCGAAAAAAAAACATGTTTCCGGGTGGAATAAGTTTCATCAAGCCTTATGATGGTACCCAAGATTGGCCACAAGCAGTGGCGTTTCCTTAACCTCAATCTACCTGCGCACCAGCTCTCAAAACAAACAATTATCAAAATATTGTTTGCAATGGATGGATATCGAGTAACCTAGAAGATTAAGTGTATTTTTCAACCGATTCGAGTATGAATAAGGCATTAAATCTGGTTTTGTATAACAAAGTTGCGCCAACTAACTCGGTCCCTGGCTGCTTATCTCCAATTTCTCGAGCGTCCCACACTTCCTACATCTTGCTCCACTTGGTCTAACCACCTAGCACGCTGTGCTTCTCTGCGTCTTGTACCGGCCGGATTTGAGGAAAAACACCATTTTTGCGGTATTGTTGTCCGGCATTCTTACAACGTGTCCCGCCCATTGTACCTTTCCACCTTTAGCGACTTTCTTGATATTGGGTTCGCCATAAAGTTACGCCAGTTCGTGGTTCATTCTTCTCCTCTACACACCATTTTCATATACCCTGCCAAAGATGGTCCTAAGCACGCATCGTTCGAAAACTCCCAGTGCTCCTCAAGCATTGTCCATTGTCATATTTTTCATGCACAATAATTTTGTTTATTATATATTTGCAGTTCGTCAATAAGGTAGAAGACTGGCAGCCCAAAACTTTCCGCATTTTTGGATCATCTGTAGAACAGGCAGAGATCTGGAGGCACAGCGATCACATTGTCATGATTGTCTGGTAGTTCACTCAAAAATGCTATAACAATCGCCAAGCTTGCTGTAATGTCACCAAGTGCCTCGTCACCCACGAATAGGCGCCTATGTCAGTGGTCTAACAACTCTTAGCGCGCTAATGGCATAGTTCCCCTGCCGCATAGAGAGTTGCCACAATGATATTAGGTTAGCTAAGGTCAGTTAACTGACTGGTGGGAAACGGGAGCTTAAGCAATGGCTATTCTTTATGCATTTAAGAGATAGTCTACCAGAATGGATGACTTTTTTTTGTACAATTTTATGTTTTCTGATGGTTTTGGTTGTGCAAAACATGAGAATTAACTTTTTCAATACTTTCAATTGTACAAAGCATTAGAGCTAGAAACAAGATCTTGAAAACACTACACACCTTAACTGGTAGTTTGCTAAAAAAAATGCTGCAACAATCGTCAAGCTCGCTGTAATGTCACCAAGTGCCTCGTCACCTACAAATTGGCGCCTATGTCAGTGGTCTAACAACTCTTAGCGCGCTAATGGCATAGTTCCCCTGCCGCATAGAGAGTTGCCGCAATGATATTAGGTTAGCTAAGGTCAGTTAACTGACTGGTGGGAAACGGGAGCTTCAGCATTGACAGTTATGTACGCATTTTTATTATGTTATCTAACAACAATGGTGTGTAGTGTTTACACGATCATGTTTCTAATTCTAATGTGTTGTAAATATAATTGAAAGCATTTGAAAAGTAAGATTCTAGTGTTTTGTATATCTAAAAACATTAGTAAACATCTACATTTGAAAACATTCAAACAACGTTTACTTTAAACGTTTTGTACATCTGAAAACATCAGAGAACAACAAACACGAAGTACAATTAAAAACATCCGAACAACGTTTAGTTCTAACGTTGTGTACATCCGAAAACATCCAAAAAAAGTTTGGTTCCAGCATCGGGAGGCATCTACGTTAGAAAACATCAGAATACATTTACATATAAAAACATTCGAACAACGTTTAGTTCTAACGTTTTTTACATCCGAAAACAACCGAAAAACGTTTGATTCTAACATCAGGAAACCTCTACATTAGAAAACATCAGAAAACGTTTACATATAAAAACATCCGAAAAACGTTTAGTTCTAACGTTTTTTACATCTGAAAACATCCAAAAACGTTTGTTTCTAACATCAGGAAACATCTACATTAGAAAACATCAGAAAACGTTTACATTTAAAAACATCCGAACAACGTTTAGTTCTAACGTTTTGTACATCCGAAAACATCCTTAAAACGTTTGGTTCTAATGTCAATAGATTGAAATTTTTGACGTCAGACCGACATTAGAATGGCAAAATTTTGTTCCAAAATTTCTGATGTATACACCATGTTACGTTGCTTAAATACAACTAAATCATAATGTTTTCTAATGTTTGACATCAGGCATACATTTGATTTCGATGCTGATGTAGACATCAGAATCAAACGTTGGGCTAATGTAAATTTCTATTCGGGAACCCACACATCTGAGCGGACGGTACAGCGCAAATCAAAACACGAAGCGGTGTCATCACTCATCGTCATCATTCAGCTTCGGCTACTCCCATTTGCCTTTGTTTTCACCACTGTTGTCAAATACCTACTTCCTACGTTATAAAATAGGAAAGTAATGATTATTACAACCTAGTTTTTGAATGAAATGCTGCGTTGGCCAATTTCTTTCGTTTAGCAATGATTTCGATACGTTGCATTTCCAGTGGCTGGGATTTAATTATTCTTTAGAGAGAGGGAAGGGGTTTTTCCATGTTTACTTCTATGCTTATTAAGATAATGTTGAACAACAGCTCCGCAAATCATCAATTACTATTAGAGATTTGTATCATACTGATACCGGTGGTATATTGAAAACTCTTTTGCTCGAAAGCAAAACATATTACAAGCACATCATGTGGTAACGACGAAAGTAACGATTAAAAATCGAAGCAATCACAAACAAGTAAGAATCTTGCTATAGCAATATAATGATGATGACTTCGAGGATGATATCATCCTCTTCGCTCGGCTGATCATCAACGTCCGCGTTGACATCTCTCATGCTGACACCTGTCAGTTATTGAGCCCTGGTGGTAAAGTTGGCGGGGAACTCCCAACAGTTTCAATGTGCACTCAACAGATAGCACTGCAATCACATAAGGGTGGTAATTATATGCCTTGTATGAGGAATTGATTAGTGGGATATCTTGTTAATTAGATATCTTTGATAATACACAGGTTTTCTCTACGGGAGTACTTTCTTGCTGTTCTGTTCCTACCAAAAAGGGTTTTTCGGGATGACGACCGTCTTCGGTGTTTCGTTTTTTTGCTAACTAACCATGTCAAGAAAGTCAACCGTGCCGCTGCCGAGAACGACAGAAACCGCTCAACTCAAATGTCGTGGGTGACGGATTTTAATTGGCCGGAGTGGAAACCTATCCCTAATAAAAATGTTATGGTTAATTTGCTTAACGACGTGTTCGGGGTATCATCCAAACCATTTGTGGAATAGTTCAATCATTTGAGTTATCGTTCGTTTAAGGTATTTGTTTATTAGGGATGTTGGTAATGGTTTTTCGACGGATATGATACATTTTATTTAAAGCATACGTGTTTGTGCATCTTTTAGAGTTCCTCAATATTTTCTATAATGTTACTGTTTTAAATAGGATTTGAAAATTTCAACCAAAATTTGATTATATTTTTTTCGAAGCTGTCAAATTTGAGTTGGGCCCTTTTGACATGTTACTGCAGAAATAACGTTTGAGCGCGTTAAAGTCATTATTTTTAATTTGCGCACGGCGGGCAAACTAGCGGGGTTCAAATTAAAAACTGTCAGATTAAAAACGGTCACATTACCGGGAGTCCATCGGTAATCGATTATTCGGGCAAATTGACATCCCTACTCGGTTGTCATTTTGGCTGATGGGTCGCATGCTTGCTTTTGTTGTGTTTGTGGACTCGGTTTTTGCGAAAACCAGTTCAAAACAAACACAGTGCACGATCACCTATCATCAGTAGCAGCATGGCCGTGTTCGGTCCGAATAAACGCCGGAAAATCCCGGTTCCCAAGCGACACGGTGTCCGTGATCCGCTGAAGAAACTTGCCGAGAAAGAAGCTGCGTAAGTATATTGAGTTTTTGATGTTAGTTTTCAAATTTGAACGAATTCAGGAACGAAAATTTTCGTATTTTAAAAGGGCACACTAAGCGAAATAATTTGAAGGGCAAAACGAACCATTGAAAATCAAAAATCATTACTTCTGTGCAGCTTGAAATGTTTGTACTTTAACTAATCATGTCTGTATTACTTCATGCGCGAAGCTGACGATTTACAGATGGAGATCCTTAAAGTCAAATATCAGACTTGGTCATTAATTTTATACGATAGATGAGAAGATAAAAGTATAGAGATGATCACACTGCCGTACTCTATCGGAACTTACTATCAACTCTATACTTTCATATCCTCGTCTATCGTATAAAATAACTTTAAGTGTGATATTTGACGTTAAGCCACCGACTTCGTCGGTGGTTAAGCTGCTCCAACTATGTTGTAATTTATTGCTATTATACCGAAAACCTGTCAGAAGACTTTTTATTTAAGAATCATTAGTGAAAAAAAATAATTACAATTTCTATGTTCATTCTCATGTAACTTCAAATAAATATGCTCGGTGTGTAATTTCATTCTCACTGTCGGAAAACTGGGGTTTCAAACTAAAAATTGTAAACTACAACTTGTATTAGAAAGTGCATACGGTACGGAAGTGCTGGTTGAAAAATATGCTTTTTATCTACGATTTTTCAATTATTTCCCCTCAACCAAACATACTCCCTAATAGCATCAAGGACAAAATCAACAACCCGCCAAAGGAACGGGACTGCCAGGAGGTTTCCAATCGGTTCAAGCACTTCGTCCAGCTCAAGGAACAAACCAAAAGTCACACACTGAACAAGACCCGCAGCCCGCAACGGAAGAAGCGTGATCCGAAGCGAAGCAAACTGCAGGTCGGAGACAGTGTTGTTCAGCAGCAGCCGAAAGAACCGGAAGAAGCGTTCCTGGCCCGTGCCAGCAAATTGCAACAGGATCGAGAGACAGAGGCAAAATTTTCCGCCAAGTACAACGTCGAAATCGAGCGGGATGAATCGACCGGGGCGGTCCGGTTGAAGAAGAAAAAGACCCACGAGATTGATGAGCTGCTGAAACGGAAAGCCGAAGAGTCCAAAGGATTCAAGAAGAAGAAAAAGCAAAAAGAAATAAAAAAGAAGCTCACTCTAACAGATAAGAAAGCCATGAAAAAGCAAAAAATCGAAGATAAGAAACGGAAGGAAGAAGATAACCTGCTGCAGGAGTTTCAGATGGATAACGTTGCGTTCGGCGAAGTAGTACACGGTCCGCCGAACTTGAAGACGAAACCAAGGCTTGCGGATAAACTGGCAGGAGCGCCGAGGGTAAATTTCCAATAATGAATCGTGGTGTTAAAAAGCTTTTATCAATTAATTCATATTTTTTTAGCCCGGTAAGAAACGGTTGTTACTCCATGCCCTTCTGGATAAGGCCAAGGACGAAGTAGACGAAGAAGAAGATGCTGAACCCCAGAAAAAGAAATCGAAAAAGAAGGCCCAACCACAGCAGCAGAAGGTGGACCTGAAGGGAAAGCGCAAAAATCTTCCAGTTAGCACCAGGATGAAGCTGGAACGGGAACAGCAAAGTGTGATCGAAATGTACCGGCAAATGAAGAAGGTCAAACAGGATTCATTGAAATAAATTGGGTTTCTTTCTGGTTAAATTTTACATTTTTAGACATCAATGTGAGAAAGACAAATTTGCGCGTAAACTGCAAAAATAATAACAAAGAAGCTTTGGAAACGCATCCTTTCCAAAGGATTTACTTAATAAACAATATTGAACCAGATGCGTTTAAATCTTATTGATCACACTCTGAATATTCTTACCGGCTACTTTACTAGGGCGCTCATGCCACCGGGTAGGGTGCACATTCTACCCCAACGGTTGTATTGCTGATTGCATCTGAAACTGGACTGCCCCAAAAATGCAAAAAGTGTGCTAAAAGTGCACCTTTGCGTCAAATCGTTTTGGTGTTTTCGGAGCACTTATTGCTTGCATCATAAGAAATAAGTGCACCGAACACACCAAGACGATTAGACGGAAGCTCGCACTTTAATCACACTTTTTAATAAGTGAAAACGCGCTTATTAGTCCAGTTTGGTGTGAAATGCGCAATATTTATCGCAGAGTTGATAATAGAAGAGTTACGCAGAGTGAAGCTTGCAACACTGTTGTCGATCAATGGGCATTTTATTTTATTTTGGAAACCTTTGTTTTTGTTTATACCTCGGATGACTTCACCTGGGTTGTGGAAGTTTCCTCTAGTTTCGATTAGAGTCGGTGTATAATGAGTCACGCCAAGAGAAAAAACAGTTGAACTCGCATCACGGTTTTCGAAAGATTCCCTTTATTTACACTTGGCAACAGAGCACTTTTAGCGAGAAAAAAAAAATAGCGGCTGTATTCAAATTATCTTAACAAAAAATAGTAGAAATTCTCAATACTGATCATTACCAAACGTATCCCATGACAATTTAATTCTCACTGCGTGTTTTATGATCATTTCTTCGATTATATTTTATATTTTATTGCAATACCTTTTTTGACCCTTTCATAGCATCGTAATGTTTGTTTACTTTGCACGATAGGTAGTCGGTTTGACAGTTCATTAGGTAGACTTGGCTTCACTCTTGGCGTGACTCATTATACACCGACTCTAGTTTCGATAACAATACTTCCCGCGCAACAGACAATTATCCACGGCCCATACAAATTTTAAAATTTGCTGTCTACGTAGTTAGTGAACAGCCCCTAAAAAAACACTGTTATCAAATAAAAAGCAGCTCACGCTACCACCAACGATCGACCAAAACAATCTGTGGGCAGTGTTGCGATATACCGTTAAAAAAAAGTTGATGCATTGTCCAATACTCATATTGTTCGTTTAGCTCGTATAACTTAAATTATGCACTCATAACAACAATCAATACGAAACTAACGATTGTAAATTGGCTCACCACTTTAGTAGCCTATTGGTCCCAAGCAAACGATTAACGTACCCTATTCTAGTTGAAATTCTATTACTACACTATGTTTGTTTTGATTCGCTATGAAAGTTTGACAGATAACATCAGGGGTGTGTGGATTCATGCAGAACATGCAGGGGTGAGTGAAATAGCTTGGGACTGCTTGGGACCGTTGTTCTGGTACTGAGTGAGCCAAAAATAATAATGATTTTCTTCGGGACCCAGTGGTCTTAGAGTTACCTCTATGGTTATAACATGTTATAGCGCTATCTTGATGGTGGTTTCTGTGTTGCAATTATTTGACAACCGTTATAACTAGAGTCGGTGTATAATGAGTCACGCCAAGAGAAAAACAGTTGAACTCGCATCACGGTTTTCGAAAGATTCCAATTCTTTTCACTTGGCAACAGAGGACTTCTACAACAACTTCAACTGACTTCTAGCGAGAGAAAAAATACTGCGGCTGTAGTAAATCATTATATCAGTGATTTTGTCAAATTATCTTAACAAAAATAGTAGAAATTCTCATTACTAATCATTACCGAGCGTATCCCATGACAATTTAACGCTCACTGCGTGTTTATGCTCATTTCTTCGATTATATTTTATATTTTATTGCAATACCTTTCGTGAACCTTTCATAGCATCGTAATGTTTATTTACTTTGCACGATAGGTATCCGCTTTGACAGTTCAATAGGTAGACTTGGCTTCACTCTTGGCGTGACTCATTATATACACCGACTCTAGTTATAACATGTTATAACTCTCCAGCCTGGACAGCGTTTTAAAAGCTGTCCAGACTGGAGAGTTATAACATGTAATAACAGTTGTCAAATAATTGCAACACAGAAACCACCATCAAGATAGCGCTATAACATGTTATAACTCTGTAGTCTGAACGTTGTAACGGTAGACATTTTCGTTAGATTATATTTTTGTTACTTGTTCTTATTTATTTTCAAATATCCATTCTTAGATTAATCGTCGTTCAATTTGTAATATTAACTTAAATGGACTGAAAGTAAGCTAAATGAAACGAATTGTAGTTTGCAACGTGTATGCAAGTCAGTTGCCTACGCGTAAAGAGGTTAGCGAAACGTATTGCTTACGTAGCTTCTCCGAAGAGTTTCACCATTCGTGTTTTTCGTTACTCGGATAGAGAAAACCGAATGGGATAGTTCTGAGAGTTGTTAGCAGTAGAAGGGAACAAGATAGACAGACCGAGTTCGATTGAAGAGGGAAAGAGATACTTCATTTGATCTTTCACGATCGTAACTAATGAAATCCGTTGAACTTCCATTTCCGGTAATCATGCCTTGGGACTTTTCTGAGGAAATTCAGTAATCGCCTCTTTCACTTTGATCCTGACTGTGATAGAAGAAGGGCGCGATTCTGTAGTTTTTTCCGCGGTGTGATTGGTTAGTAGTAGAAAACGTGAAGTGCCCTCAGATGTATTTTAATCGATTCTATGTTCCCCGTATAGGCTAAAGCTAGATAGCATTATAGTGTTGTAATTGTTGTGCGAGAGTTGTGTAAGCGTTCCAGATAACGGCAAGGTAAAACCAATTTACGAAATTTGTGTGTGCCGATAATAGGTTAATTGTGTCGTTTGCACGGTCAACGACTTTCCGCGTGTTCGCTTTCTATAGAATTCAACAGCCAACAAAGCGACCGTTGATCAATAGCGCTGCCTCGCACCGCGGCTTTGCTTATTGTCGCCAACCCTTACCACGCACGGGTATCAAAGCTTCCCGGTTGCCTATCCGAAGGGAGTTGCCTACGTTACCAAGGCACTCCGGCTAACGTCCAGCAAGCCACCATCCGCTGACTGAGTTCGGCAACTAAGAAACTTCAAGCGCAGTAGGAGGACATCAGCCGTCGTTGCAACGACGGCATCGGTCGGGCGAAAGCCCGTAAAGCTCGCCAACGTAAGCTTCAAATCTTGTAAGTAGCGAACCCACACTTGCATGCAAGGCCGTTAGCACGGACACATAATGATAGCGCGCTAGGCGAATAGTCCATCGACCGCACTAGTCAGATAGAAAGATAGAGGGGAACAGTAGTTAGGCCGGCCAGAACCAAGATTGTAGATATGTGAATAAAAAACCCTATAGATATACTAAATAAAAGTAGAATGTTCACTCCCAAAATAAATCAGTGTTCAGTGTTAGAAAGTTTTGATTGAGAGAGTCTGAAGGTTATTTCACGTTTCGTTCATCATGTTTAGTCTTTTTCCGTTGAATTTGTTGTGTTACTCGTCTTCTAAATCAAGCTCGAGTTGATGGGTCAGAGGGATTGCTTCCTGTGATGATACCCCTGTTCGGATTGGTTTTCGGGATTGGAAGTTTTTCGGACTCGGTAGTTAGGATCTTGGGATTTCGGTGGGTATGCTCTCTTCTTTCTTGAGTCACTCGGCTCAGTTGGTCTTGTTCCCGACACTGTGGACGAATTTGAGAACTGGCTCATTTGGCCAGTATCTAGCCGGGCATCGTGAAACACGACAGGTGGTCCTCTTCGGAGGTGGCGCTTAAGCCATCCGTTTATGAAACTTATCGGGAACAAACAACAGCACCGTAGCTGCCTCGGGGCCGCTACAACGTACTATCAACAATCAATACGAAACTAACGATTTTAAATTGGCTCACCACTTTAGTAGCCTATTGGTCCCAAGCAAACGATTAACGTACCCTATTCGAGTTGAAATTCTATTACTACACTATGTTTGTTTTGATTCGCTATGAAAGTTTGACAGATAACATCAGGGGTGTGTGGATTCATGCAGAACATGCAGGGGTGAGTGAAATAGCTTGGGACTGCTTGGGACCGTTGTTCTGGTACTGAGTGAGCCAAAAATAATAATGTTTTTCTTCGGGACCCAGTGGTCTTAGAGTTACCTCAATGGTACTATCAAGCTTGAAGGCCCAAGCGCAATGTGGGCGGAAGCGGAACGGAAACGGAAAGTTTGACAGTTGTCACAAATGGCATCAAGATGCCTAACCGCCCGAATAGAAATTTACATTAGCCCAACGTTTGATTCTGATGTCTACATCAGCATCGAAATCAAATGTATGCCTGATGTCAAACATTAGAAAACATTATGATTTAGTTGTATTTAAGCAACGTAACATGGTGTATACATCAGAAATTTTGGAACAAAATTTTGCCATTCTAATGTCGGTCTGACGTCAAAAATTTCAATCTATTGACATTAGAACCAAACGTTTTAAGGATGTTTTCGGATGTACAAAACGTTAGAACTAAACGTTGTTCGGATGTTTTTAAATGTAAACGTTTTCTGATGTTTTCTAATGTAGATGTTTCCTGATGTTAGAAACAAACGTTTTTGGATGTTTTCAGATGTAAAAAACGTTAGAACTAAACGTTTTTCGGATGTTTTTATATGTAAACGTTTTCTGATGTTTTCTAATGTAGAGGTTTCCTGATGTTAGAATCAAACGTTTTTCGGTTGTTTTCGGATGTAAAAAACGTTAGAACTAAACGTTGTTCGAATGTTTTTATATGTAAATGTATTCTGATGTTTTCTAACGTAGATGCCTCCCGATGCTGGAACCAAACTTTTTTTGGATGTTTTCGGATGTACACAACGTTAGAACTAAACGTTGTTCGGATGTTTTTAATTGTACTTCGTGTTTGTTGTTCTCTGATGTTTTCAGATGTACAAAACGTTTAAA